TGTAGCACAATTGGTTTTAGTGGTTGCAATGGCTGCAATATGATTTAATTGTTGGGAATGGGTGCAATAAACTGCAATATTATGGTTGTAGTAGATGAAATATGTTGTTGCACTGTTTGGAATATGCGAATGAAGTGATTACAATACATGCGACTACAACCAGCTGAAACATTGTTGTAATGGATTCAATTCATCACACTCATTGCAATAATATTTCGATAATATATATGAAATTGTATACACATATGCAATTCTATATGCATTTAGTAAATTTTTGAATATATATATAATATTATTGCAGGGATGAATGAATAATATGTGTTGATTGAATTAAACTTAAGTCTTGCTACTGATTTAGATAAGCTGATTGCATTCAAGAATCTTTTTTAAGCCTAATTATTGAGGACAGCTGCGGTTAGTTTCAAACCATCAAACTTCACAATGAATTGACAGACACTATGTCAAGTATTAAGTGGTATTAGTATGGTAGTATTCAGTTTTTGATATAGTAGCCAATTTTTTCAGCTATTAGACTGCTACAACTATCAACAGCGACGTGATTGTTAAAAAACATATAAACTGTGAAATTATGACCTTATGAATTTTTCTTTATTAAATACATTTCAAAAAGGCATACCTAGTATTTTTATTTTATTTATTTTGGAGAACTTTCTAAATTAGGAGTTTTTTCAACTAAGATTACCCAAGTTATTTTCTTAATTTGTGAGTAAATTCAAAACAAATGTTGATTAACCAACACTATGATAATATGAAACCAATTCAAAAACTTGATTGAAATGTAAACCACATGGGTGACTATGACACTAATTTATGCATTACCTGAATCAATTATGACCGATACTCAACTCATTGGTCAACCTCTGGATATGGTCAAATAATTGACTTCTGGTATGTTGATTGATCTCTGTTTTGGTCAAATAACTGGTCCTAGGGAATCCATTTAGTTATTATTTGGAAAATATATTCGTCTAACGGATTGCTTGAATATGTAGTATTCTAATGTGGTCAACTGACTATTTTTCAGGCTTTCCTGATTTTGTGTTTGGTCCAGACGTTGACAAACCCTCTATGCATAAACCTACCAATGGGTTTCAGTCTTCTGACCAAACTGACTACCACAATACAAGTACTTCAGGTATTTAATATGAATTTTGTTTACCTTTATACTAATATTTAACTTGACGTTGTGTTGGAACAGAAAAATGCCAATTAAGTTATTTCTTGGGTAGTAACTTATTTTGATTGTGAAACCTGTTAGTTAGTGCTAAGGAAAGGTTTTATTCAATTTATGTAAAAAAAATGAAACCTTCCGTTATAGAAACAAGTAGCTAATTTTCCAATGAAAAATCTTCATAGTACAGTGTAAAGTTTCAGTTTAGTAAATTTTTCTCTCTCAGCTAACTTCATATGCTACAATTTAAATGACGTGTTAACAGAAAAGAAAGTGACAAAATATAGGTATAAATCACAATAGATATTTTATGAACACAAATGCACGTGATGTGAAAAGGTTATTTCAATGTCATTGGTTAAATTCTTAAATGGACACTGAGATTATTTCACTTTATCCTGGGTGAACATTTTTCCTTAAACAAAAATAAAAAATACTCATAAAAAGACTAAAACACTCAAAGTTATAAAAGTTCATCTCAATTCACTTTTACCGAGTTTTGTTTCACCCTTGTGAGAGATAAAGCTCGGAATGAATTAATTGTCGAGTAATAAAAGCTGCCACTTTACAACATGATGTAAAAAGAACATCACTTCAAAGAGCATTCCTAGTGAGCGCTGTAAAGTTTGTGCCTTCCTACAGCGTATAACTCGAGTCATGTTTGCCGGGTGGCATTTTATACTTTCAGCAGGATATCAAGATAAACTCTTTATATGAATCATATTCTTTTGGTAAACCTACATGCTTTACCCAATAAAAAAAATTATAGTTGCATTTCTTTTCCTAACTTTTCCTCTTTAAAAAATTACATGATAAAAAATATCGTGTGTAATTTTTTTGTTGACAATGAACACAATTACAGTAAATCACCGCTATTTCATGAATAAATTATAATTCTCATTTGGTACAAATGGCTTTTTTGTTGGGTTTCAATTTAATGGTTTGGTGAGTAAAAAAGAAAAAAACAATAACAACCAATTAAATCAAGATACTACTTTTGGTTTACAATAAAATATTTTTATGCCAAACTACACTGACACTGTTTTAACAAACTTCCCACACAATGATAAACATATACAGGATGAGTTTTAAATGAGTTCCCCCCCCTAATTTTTTCTACATTTCTTAAGATATCAACTCCGGACCACGAAAGATCATTGAAGAGTAGTAAGTACTTCATTTTGACTGGGTATAAATTTTTGGCTGCCATCTTGGATCCGCCATATTGGATACAAAGTTTTTTTTTCAAATGTAAAGGTAGGGTTGTGACCCATCGTTTTAAACTACTTTTTTTATGCTGAATACGATGCTGCAATTCGTTTTTAAAAATCTTGATCCATTCTAAAGTTTTGAGAACTTTTTATAACATTATTTTTAGCCCATTTTAACATTGTGCATTTAGAAACTAAGAACATAATCGCAAAATAGTGCTAGATAAAGATTTATGTATATTATGTGGTGTATACTTATCTTTATCTAGCACTATTTTGTGATTATGTTCTTAGTTTCTAGATGCACAATGTTAAAATGGGCTAAAAATAATGTTATAAAAAGTTCTCAAAACTTTAGAATGAGCAAGATTTTTAAAAACGAATTGCAGCATCGTATTCAGCATAAAAAAGTAGTTTAAAACGATGGGTCATAACCCTACCTTTACATTTGAAAAAAAAACTTTGTATCCAATATGGCGGATCCAAGATGGCGGCCAAAAATTTATACCCAGTCAAAATGAAATACTTACTACTCTTACAATGATCTGACGTTGTCCAGAGTTGATATCTTAAGAAATGTAGAAAAAAGTAGGGGGGGAACTCATTTAAAACTCACCCTGTATAATAGACTAAGCAGCTGTTACATTGGTTGTGCCAGGAGCTGCTAGTGATGGTGGACTGTCCAGAGCAAGGTAGACATGAGGCAGAGTTACCAGCAGAACAGAGGATCTGTGTGTCTGATGTGACAGCTCAGTGCTGCTCTGATAGTCCAATGCTGCTACTTGCTGATTGTGAAGTACTTGTACTAAACAGCTGTTACATTGGTTGTGCCAGGAGCTGCTAGTGATGGTGGACTGTCCAGAGCAAGGTAGACATGAGGCAGAGTTACCAGCAGAACAGAGGATCTGTGTGTCTGAAGCGACAGCTCAATGCTGCTCTGATGGACCAATACTGCTACTTACTGATTGTGAAGTACTTGTACTAAACAGCTGTTACATTGGTTGTGCCAGGAGCTGCTAGTGATGGTGGACTGTCCAGAGCAAGGTAGACATGAGGCAGAGTTACCAGCAGAACAGAGGATCTGTGTGTCTGATGCGACAGCTCAGTGCTGCTCTGTTGGACCAGTGCTGCTACTTACTGATTGTGAAGTACTTGTACTAAACAGCTGTTACATTGGTTGTGCCAGGAGCTGCTAGTGATGGTGGACTGTCCAGAGCAAGGTAGACATGAGGCAGAGTTACCAGCAGAACAGAGGATCTGTGTGTCTGATGTAACAGCCCAGTGCTGCTCTGATGGTCCAATGCTGCTACTTACTGATTGTGAAGTACTTGTACTAAACAGCTGTTACATTGGTTGTGTCAGGAGCTGCTAGTGATGGTGGACTGTCCAGAGCAAGGTAGACATGAGGCAGAGTTACCAGCAGAACAGAGGATCTGTGTGTCTGATGTGACAGCTCAGTGCTGCTCTGATGGACCAATGCTGCTACTTACTGATTGTGATGTACTTGTACTAAACAGCTGTGTCATTGGTTGTGACAGGAGCTGCTAGTGATGGTGGACTGTCCAGAGCAAGGTAGACATGAGGCAGAGTTACCAGCAGAACAGAGGATCTGTGTGTCTGATGTGACAGCTCAATGCTGCTCTGTTGGACCAATACTGCTACTTACTGATTGTGAAGTACTTGTACTAAACAGTTGTTACATTGGTTGTGCCAGGAGCTGCTAGTGATGGTGGACTGTCCAGAGCAAGGTAGACATGAGGCAGAGTTACCAGCAGAACAGAGGATCTGTGTGTCTGATGTGACAGCTCAGTGCTGCTCTGATGGACCAATGCTGCTACTTACTGATTGTGATGTACTTGTACTAAACAGCTGTGTCATTGGTTGTGACAGGAGCTGCTAGTGATGGTGGACTGTCCAGAGCAAGGTAGACATGAGGCAGAGTTACCAGCAGAACAGAGGATCTGTGTGTCTGATGTGACAGCTCAGTGCTGCTCTGATGGACCAATGCTGCTACTTACTGATTGTGATGTACTTGTACTAAACAGCTGTGTCATTGGTTGTGTCAGGAGCTGCTAGTGATGGTGGACTGTCCAGAGCAAGGTAGACATGAGGCAGAGTTACCAGCAGAACAGAGGATCTGTGTGTCTGATGTGACAGCTCAGTGCTGCTCTGATGGACCAATGCTGCTACTTACTGATTGTGATGTACTTGTACTAAACAGCTGTGTCATTGGTTGTGCCAGGAGCTGCTAGTGATGGTGGACTGTCCAGAGCAAGGTAGACATGAGGCAGAGTTACCAGCAGAACAGAGGATCAGTGTGTCTGATGCGACAGCTCAGTGCTGCTCTGATGGACCAATGCTGCTACTTACTGATTGTGATGTACTTGTACTTAACAGCTGTTACATTGGTTATGCCAGGAGCTGCTAGTGATGGTGGACTGTCCAGAGCAAGGTAGACATGAGGCAGAGTTACCAGCAGAACAGAGGATCTGTGTGTCTGATGCGACAGCTCAATGCTGCTCTGATGGTCCAATGCTGCTACTTGATGTACTTGTACTAAACAGCTGTTACATTGGTTATGTCAGGAGCTGCTAGTGATGGTGGACTGTCCAGAGCAAGGTAGACATGAGGCAGAGTTACCAGCAGAACAGAGGATCAGTGTGTCTGATGCGACAGCTCAGTGCTGCTCTGTTGGACCAGTGCTGCTACTTACTGTTTGTGAAGTACTTGTTCTAAACAGCTGTTACATTGGTTGTGCCAGGAGCTGCTAGTGATGGTGGACTGTCCAGAGCAAGGTAGACATGAGGCAGAGTTACCAGCAGAACAGAGGATCTGTGTGTCTGATGCGACAGCTCAATGCTGCTCTGTTGGACCAGTGCTGCTACTTACTGATTGTGAAGTACTTGTACTAAGCAGCTGTTACATTGGTTGTGCCAGGAGCTGCTAGTGATGGTGGACTGTCCAGAGCAAGGTAGACATGAGGCAGAGTTACCAGCAGAACAGAGGATCTGTGTGTCTGATGCGACAGCTCAGTGCTGCTCTGTTGGACCAATGCTGCTACTTACTGATTGTGATGTACTTGTACTAAACAGCTGTTACATTGGTTGTGACAGGAGCTGCTAGTGATGGTGGACTGTCCAGAGCAAGGTAGACACGAGGCAGAATTACCAGCAGAACAGAGGATCTGTGTGTCTGATGCGACAGCTCAGTGCTGCTCTGTTGGACCAATGCTGCTACTTACTGATTGTGAAGTACTTGTACTAAACAGCTGTTACATTGGTTGTGACAGGAGCTGCTAGTGATGGTGGACTGTCCAGAGCAAGGTAGACATGAGGCAGAGTTACCAGCAGAACAGAGGATCTGTGTGTCTGATGCGACAGCTCAGTGCTGCTCTGTTGGACCAGTGCTGCTACTTACTGTTTGTGAAGTACTTGTTCTAAACAGCTGTTACATTGGTTGTGCCAGGAGCTGCTAGTGATGGTGGACTGTCCAGAGCAAGGTAGACATGAGGCAGAGTTACCAGCAGAACAGAGGATCTGTGTGTCTGATGCGACAGCTCAGTGCTGCTCTGTTGGACCAGTGCTGCTCAGCAAGATCAGCTTCTGTGTGAGGGAGGGTCAGATACTAGCAGTGGTGGGACCTTGGAGAGCTGGCAAGGTAAAAATACTGTAGCTGTAATTTCAAATAAGTTTACGTCCATAATTAATGAACAACATTTGATTGGTCTGTGGAAATGGACATAATTAGTGGGAAATTGATTGGGCGGTTGTGTGTTGGAGTGATTCACCATATTCACATCCTTTCCTTTCATAAATATTGTCTTCAATCTGAATGTCATATTCAGAGCTCGGTGGTTCAATTCCAAGCGAGTTTTGTTCCCAACTCAGATGTCATTTGTATTTAGGATACAATTGATGGCATTCTAAGGAAATTTTTACGCTAGATAGTAACAAGGCCAGGATTTGGACCATTCCCTAACAAACAATGTAAAAAAGTTCTAACTATCTAGAAAATCACAATAAATAAAGAAAAATTAATCAGGATTTTTTTTTTAATCATCAACCTAGTTTTTGTCTAAATCAATGTATCGCTTATCAATATTTTGTTGGTCAGACCCCATTGCTGTATCTACTGCAAGGCGAGGTGGACACGTGTTCAGGCAGTGTGGCCATCAAAGGTCGCACAGTCTATTGCCCTCACACACCCTGGCTGCTGCCGGCCGCCTCCGTCAGGGACAATATCGTTTGCGGCAAACACATCAACGAACAGAGGTAACGGTACATACATGTCTTTATACATTGAGACTTTACTAGAAGTAATCAAAAACGCTTTAAGATAGTTTGTCTATGTAGGCTTTCATCATCATGTTGGTTAATGTGTAAACTTTGCCTACTGATATTCCTCAAATCTGGACATGAATTTTGGATACTTACGTACATTTTGGATACATATATGAAGAAGTTTTAGCAGATATTTTTTATTCAAACAGCACAATTTCATTAGCCACTCACAGTGAGCTGCAGTCTAAAATTTTTGTTCACTTTTATCTTTTTTTAGCGGTATAGTTTATGTGACATAACAGCTGATGTACCAATATTTAACAATTTGTCCCTAAAGTTTAGCTTGGTCAAAAGTTGGGAAATTCGGAAGAAATCTGTAAACTACATCAGTCTTAAAAGTTGAGGCAGAAACAATTTCTGAATCTGCACTTAACCTGAAGGCAATTCCTTTGTAAGTGGGAATTTTTATCAAACCAGTTTTGCAACAATAAGAGTTAGAAGCTCTTATAGTAACTCAAGCAAGGTCAGGTCTTGGATAATTTAGGTGACTGTATGGATAGGAAACCGACAATTAGTCCTAGAGTGAGCGATTTCCTTTATAAGTGGTACTACGCTAAATAAATAACTTTGAGTCTTATACACAACTTCAACATGACATACAGTTCCCTTGATTTTGTAAATATTCTCAGACTGAAGCTGGTATTGGAGGTTTGTGGTCTCATCAGAGATGTCCAAGATTTGCCCAAGAAAGAGATGACAATCATCGGAACTGAGGATGGAGTGGCTCTCACACTTCAGCAGATTTCCAAGATCAACTTGGCCAGGTATGTTTTTATCAAAGGGCTGTAAAGTGTTTTATAGACACACATGGGCAATCGATTGGATATCAATATGAAAAGCTCTCAAAACATTACAATATGATATTTTTGTAGCCTGAGTCCATCTATGTATCTCTGTTGTGACTTATCTCCAAAGGGCGACTGTTTTTTTACATCATTAGCCTTTTCATGTAAGTTCCAAGTAAAACAGTGTTAGATTTATTTTGTAAACAATTTTAAACCTTCCTTAAACAGCTGGTTAGCAGAGCGAATAAAGTGCTTGCCTGGTGACCAGAAGGTTGCAAGTTGAATCCTGAGAAAAGTCAGAATGCTTTTAGTTAAACATTTCAAAGCCTATTCATTAACTCATCCTTCACTCATCTTCTCCAAAACGCACGCCTGTACCATCGTTTGTCAGCTTCGTAAAAAATTGAATTGAACCTACGACAAATTGCAGCTCATCATTGTACATTGCAGGACGCTCTACCACGACTGTGACATCTACCTGCTGGATGATCCGTTCAGGTGGCTCGGCAGACAAGTGTCCGACAGGATCTTCACTCGATGCGTCCTGAGGTTGCTGAAGGACAAAACTGTGGTTTTGGTCACTGACAAACATCGACACCTCGTGAAGGCCGACCAAATCATAGCTCTGCGGAACGTGAGTATACATAATATTTACCTATCAAATATAAAACATTCTAGTCTATAACATAGATAAAATAGTGGCACGATAATGAAAGAGATTCTAACGGTTCCTTTGGGACAACGATTTTTATTAGTAAGCTTTCTAATCAAGTTACTATGTTATAATTGATTCATTCACATGTTATACAAACCTCGATAAATAGTCAACCTTGATAACAAGTCTTATATTTAATAATCCCTATGATAAACTTTTTATCGAGGCTCTGCTATATCAGCTATACTTGTTCTTCGGGTAATTCGACATACTACAAATTTAGACACACAATTAGCAGTATATCACGCTTATTTTTCTTCCATCATGAATTACGGTTTAACAGTATGGGGTTCTTCTAGTCATGCCGAACAAATTTTTATCCCCCAGAAAAGAGCAGTTAGAGTCTTAGCCAAAGTGTCTCGAATTACTCACAGTAAAGAGTTTTTCATTCAGTTTAAAATTCTTACTTTGTATAGTTCTTATATTTTTAATGGTTTAATGGTTTAATGGTATCTTTAACTGGTTTTAATGGTTAAAAGTGATTTTGACACATTCATGGAAGATCAACATGAATATCCTCATAACACTAGATTTAAAAACAATATAAAACCAGTTCAACACAGACTTAAAGTATTCCATTTATCTCCTCAGTACATGGGTCCAAAAATATACAACAAATTACCTTCTTCAATTAGGGACAATGATTCATTCCCTAAATTCAAAAAGAAGTTAAAAAACTTTCTTTTGGAGAAGGCCTTCTTCTCATTGGAGGAATAAATGGAAGCTGTGTAGATGTTAAGGCTCAGCATATGAAATTTATTTTAGTAATATTTTTAGTATAGAGACTATAAATTATTGTAACAATGACGAATCACCTGTCTGATTATGATGTTATGTGATTATTGGAAAATAAATAAATAAATAGCGTTGTTTTTCTTGGCAATTTTAAATATTGTACACGAAGTACAGAGCCTACAGAAAATTGATATAATATATCTTTATATAATATAGTTCATAATATAGCTGTGATAAATGCTTGTTCTTTAAAATGTGACTTTAAAAATTGAATGAAATGGGACATTTTATCAAAATTATATCTTCCTCAAAAGCGATTCCACTAAAATGCATTAAACAAAAATTAATTTCTTCATCACACACGGCACAAGTTAGCAACAAGGGAAATCAAAAGAGTAAATTTAAAAACTAATTGCAAAAAAACTCTGGGATTTTAAACAACGTTGAAAGATAAAGTTTCTGGTTAAACTTGACTTGTCATCATCCTTTACAACATCGTTAACTTTTACGTCCTAATATAAGTTGAAAAGAAACCGTGATGTTCCTTTATTACCTGTCTTGTACTGCTTCTCTAGTCAAGTTGGATTGAACTTTATTGTTGATGTAACTAATTTTTATTCCCAGAAGAGTCTACATTCTACAGTTTTGACACAACAAATACAACCTTGTTCAATCATATTGTTTTAGTACATAAAAAAGGGTTTTAGTATAAAATATCTAATAATAGTAATGTTTCCTTGCTTTTTATGAGAATTGATAATTATTTTTATCATTAGGTATTGTATAAACTTCGACAATATTTCTCTATACAATGATTAGAGGTTGTAATATTACATTTCATACTACTGAAACCACTGTTTTTCTAATTATCTGCTATCTCAATTCAACATTATTTTGACAGTAGATCATCTTCGGTTTTTATTTTTGGATTACAGGCAAACCTCGTTTGAGGTAAAATTGTAAAATTCGTAATTTTAAAAATTCTTCAAATTTTTACCTGTGAGGAAATGAAAAATATTCCCTGTACGGGAAATTTGCTAATAATATGCAATATGAAATTGAATAGTCCAGCGACTGCAATAATAAACAACATCAAAATGAAAATATTCTAGGATCATCACTGGATTATGACGATACATAATATTCTGTTTTACCTCGTTAGAACTTGTATTCTAAAAAAAAATACATATCACATAGGTACCTCCCTTAAAATTCTATATTTAAACAATTGGCCGGTTTTATGCGGTACAGTGTTACATGGCCAAATCTGTTGAATACATTTGCCAGTTGTTAGACCAGACTCTATAGTCAATGTATTAGGGCTAAACTTCCACAACAGAGTTATCCTTCTAAGCCCTTGATACAATTGTGTAGTTTAACTACATCAGGTTTAGTCACTGTTCAATGAGAATGATTAAAATAAACAAAACAACAATCATAAAAGTATTTAGGTAAACATGAAATTAATTATTTTAAATCAATAATTAAATTATTGTTTAGTTGTCTTGCTTTATGTATGTAATTTAAGACGATTTTTCTATTGTGAATAAGGTATATAATGTTTGATGTGAGTTATTAGATTTGTCAGAGAGATTGACTAGTATTATACTCTTATTAAATTTTGTACGTATTTAATGTATGTAAAATAAAACAAAAGAATTGAACAATTATGTAGATGCTTTGGAAAACACTGGCAATTCTCTGAACACAAATAAGAACTAAACAAAAGATGTTAACCTAGCATAAATATTATCTGATCGTCCATTTAAAAACAACATAGGCCTACTGTATTTTGAAAAGCTTACAACTCTTTTTTAATTAAATGTCAGACTTTCATGGAGATATTCATTTATCTATTTGTCGTTTCTCATGAAAGTTTTGTTTAAAAAAACCAATAAAGTGCAAAAGTTAAATTGGAATAAGTTAAAACAACTATAATAATTGAGTCAAAATAAGCCACTAATTTATAAAACTTGTATGCAATCTAGAGAAAACCTGTTTTCAAAGACATGGACCATCATGAGGATCAGGAATTTTTAAAACAAAATCTCATATAATAAATTAGACTCACAGACTTAAGCTCATCCCCAATTAACCGACAAATAAATTTTTTACTGGACTAAAAGTTGTTTTAAGTGTTGAAGATAATAACGATGTAAATGGTGATGAGTTGGCCCTTTGCCGTTTCCTACTGTAAAAAACTTCTTAATTCGACTTCCGGAAAACTTCTTCTTTCTTTTTCAACAGAAACTTCTAGGTACCTTATGAATTATTTCTTCCTGCACTCCAAAGGACGGAGATAAAAGTTGGATACAAACAGTTCAAGAATTGAGACAAAAATAAAGTTATTGTAAGCCTAGTATTTTATGAGGTTACAAATGTAAAAAGTTTTTTACTGTTCATGATTGGGTTGATAAAAAATATTTTTTAGTTATAACTTAGTGTTTTTTCACCTTTATCAGAAACAAGATGCAGTGATGACAAAATAATATAGTACTTTAAAGCAACTAAAGAAAAATATTCTTCTACAGTATCATTGATTAACCATAAAAAAATTGGTAATATCATTGACATAGTAAACAGTATTATCTACTGTATAATCACCAGTCAATAAATTAATTGACTTTACCTAAATCACCTTGAGTACAAAATAAGTTCCTATAAACGGCTGATTGATACTTGATAGATAAATGATGTATTTTTTAAAATACCAATTTAGATGAGGACGCCACCTAGGTGCATATTTTAACCCGAATGTTATGAGTGAGGATGAGTGTAGAATGAAGTGTGACGATCCGTGTAGCTTTGTTACTGACTAAAATCAGCTGATTTTTTAGCTTGCAGTAAATTTTTACTGTTCATAATTCTTTTAGAAATCGGTCATACTAATTTTGAAATTGCCGACTTCATAAAAAAATAGTAACTACAGTAAAATTTTTTTGATTGTACTGAGCAGCATGTATTGCCATCTTGGGCGTCGCCCTATACACGCAGACAGATATAAATTGACATACAAATTTTTTTGGCCTTTTAGACTATGAAAAGTAAAAACAACCGAAGACTTCACGATGCTTTTAATTGTCAATGTTCCGACAGAACGGGATTTCATCATCCATCTATATCATAAGATCAGAAAATTAGAAAATATCCAAACTTGATGATGACAAGTATAACTGTTCAAAACCAATACTGTAACCTATAAAATATTTCTTACACATGTTCATAATCTTGCAAACTATTACATGATAAATTTTACTATTTCTAATATCGTTAAAATAAGTTTGCTATTTCATCCATTATTATGTATTAATTTAGAACGATTCAAACTAAAAATAAATCAAATCACCAACATTTCGTATTCTAATACCACAGTCAGGATAAATATGAAACATGATTTGCCACAGTGGCATTAGCTAAGTGAGGGTTTTGTCACTCAACTTTGTTAAACATCATTCAAACTTGCAACACAGGAAACCTCTTCAACATCTCAACACACGACACATGAGAGCTATGATGACATTGTGTATGGCTGCCTCTATAACATCAGAGTAGTAAAGTTTCATCACATTTATCAACAGTTTTTAACTCAATTTTCTTATAAAGACGTAATTTTAGTACAAAATGAATAGTAAAACTGTGTAAGATAAAATTGTAGTTATATTTTCAAATTAAATAATTGAATTTGACTGATCAAAATCAGACGATAATAGTTTTTATAAATGTAATATTCTGTGGGTTAGAACATTTTAATAAATAACTTCTTGATCAGCATCGTACGTGTTATTAAATTTACGAAAAGTAAATAAAGAAACGTCTTATAACACTTAAAACATATATTTACGCTTATACTGTTACTCACAAGACGGTAAATATACAAAAAAGGGTGGTAAACGGTGATCGACTTCGATTGGACACTCCAATAATCATCAGATCCAATAGGCCAATGACATATAATAAACAGTAACAATGTTTCAGTTTTAACAATGTTTCAGTTTTAACAATGTTAACAATGTTTTAACAATGTTAACAATGTTTTAACAATGTTAACAATGTTTTAACAATGTTAACAATGTTTTAACAATGTTTAACAATGTTAACAATGTTTTAACAATGTTAAACAATGTTAACAATGTTTTAACAATGTTAAACAATGTTTTAACAATGTTAAACAATGTTAACAATGTTTTAACAATGTTAAACAATGTTAACAATGTTTTAACAATGTTAAACAATGTTAACAATGTTTTAACAATGTTTAACAATGTTAACAATGTTTTAACAATGTTTAACAATGTTAACAATGTTTTAACAATGTTAAACAATGTTAACAATGTTTTAACAATGTTAAACAATGTTAAACAATGTTAACAATGTTTTAACAATGTTTACAATGTTTACCAATGTTAAACAATGTTGACAATGTTTTAACAATGTTTAACGTACATTGTCTACCACCCGTCACACTCCTGTGATCTTGAGTCACCTGGTAGTGAATGCCTTAATCGGCCGTTCGTTCTCACAAAAAATAAAATACTTTACAATTATTTATTAATAGTAAACAATAGTTTCGTACCGTACATGGGGGTAAATAAGTCCGTATGTTATTTTATGTTGTATGTAGGTAAATAATGTGTAGGCATATAATATTATGGCAATATATAGGCCTTAGTAAATTATATGTAAGTAATAATAATTTTATAGATAAAAATTATTGTTTTTTTTACTATTCTGTATAGGAAACAAGTTATACCAATTTAAGGAGTTTTAACACATCCCATTTTCTTCCCTTTCATACAACCAACTGTTTCATCATATTTGTACACAATCACATGACATCTTCCTCTTCAATATCTTCTTAGAGTTGTAAAAAGAATACATACAAATTTAGAGAAATGAGAATAGAAAGCAAAATAAAAATGCAATTGAAATCACTTAAGATAAGTGCTATTCTGCAAAGTTGACATAAAGTCTAGTTACAATAAGCTTGAAGTACAAATCGCATGGCGAAGTATTCTTGATCTCAAACTTTACACTCACACTTTATCTTTTGTAGCAATGGAATTGAAACAAAATTTGTGTTCGAGGCCACTCAGTTTCAAAAAGGTTTACAAAGTTTTCGTTGTCTCTTTTAAACCAAATAATTAATATTTTATGTATCGATTGCAGCATGATTTTCTTTAGAAACATTTATTATTTATCGCTAAAAGTGAATTGAAACATTGACTTTAAGACTGTAGCCAATTTATTATGAAACTAGAACACAGTTAAACCTCAAAATTTAAGCTTTACTCTGAGATTCTTTTCTCTGATACTATTCACTGAAACTATTTAATCCTCTTAACAAATTCTATGGATTAAAGTACGTTGATTTTTAAGTCTGGCTTGTTCAAAAAATAAGTTTTTTTTAAATCAGTAATTTACATTAGAACACTCTGTCGTTGGCTCGACAGACCAATTTCCAATTTCCAACCATTTTCCAAGCGTACACAAAATACATGTCTAATAAAAGCTTGCTGTTTTTTTTGTTTGGTTGGAATTATAGAGTGCAGCAAAAGTAAGTAAATGCAGCAATTAGCAAATTTCTGTACTAATTTCAGTGCAAGGTAGCCCACTTTGTCGGGTGACTGTAGGAAAATATAGTTTTATCCACAGTTGAATATTACACTTTCAATCTTATTTGTAGACAGCTATAATGTTATTGCCCAGGAATAATGAGATACAATATAGAAATACTTTTTTGTAAACGCAATGAATGGACGGAGACATAATTGACCATAGAGCGCTGAGTGTAGTTTTATAATCAACGATTGTACCTTATGTGGAAAATCTATGCTTCCATATCCTTTAAAGAACTACATTTATAGCTACAATAAAAACTAATGGATTGAATTGAATTTTTAGCAAAGCGAACCAACAACAAACATCAAATAATGAATAATCTAATGTTTTTGAGATTCCATTACATTCAATAATTTAAAACATTATCCCGAAGCACACACGTCATATTGACGTAGGTGTAAACATAACACAAAGGTTTATTTCAAATGACATTTCCACAATATAGATAAACCTGGTAACCAACTGAAGGCTTTGATTATGTAAACACCACTGGCCTCGCTAGATAACTGGATAAACTCACATGACAAACAGACAAAACTGATTAAGTTTTGGTCGGGCTGTGAATGCGTTGGATAAGAGCTTACTCAGCTCTCTGTGAAACCTGGAATTTGTAACTCTGTGTATTTTGTCACATCTGTATTGAAATTTAGTTTTGTTGGATTTTGTATTAAATAATCAATTGTTGAATCAATAGTTTAGAGCGATGATGTGTTGGTTGTTTTACAATTAACAATAACAATACAGTAGGTTGTATTTATTAATTTAAAATTTGTTTGTTATCAATATTATAAACAATAAATTGTTGTGTATGTAATGAATTTCCGATTAGCTTATGACTGAAAAGTACACGGTAAAACAATATCATTAATGTATTTAATTTAATGACCAATATCAGCAAATTGACACATACTTTCTCTTGAAGTGCATCTGTTACGCTCAATGCTCAAACTCCGAATTCGGACAATGTCCGAAATTTTTTACCCACTTCGCGATGATAGAAATACCCACAACCCGATGTGGACAATTACTTCCACACTGCGTTGTGGGTATTTTGGAATTGCTCAATCGCCGAAGAACGTTTAAAGTTCGGCATTTGAGTAAACCAGTTTACCCACAATGTGGTCTGGGCATTTCGCTTCGGCCAATGTCCGAATAAAATGCTCACTCCGCGACGTGGGTATTACACGCCGTCCACATCGCAAAGTGGATAAAAATTCAGGACAGTGCAAAAATGAACCGTAAATTTTTACAGAATTGGGGCTGGTACAATTTGTAAGGTTAAAAGAACAATAACATACACAATTTTAATGTAAATAGTAGTTTGAACCTTTTTTAATGAAAATTAATTTAACGTTATTTTATGGGTTTTTGTGGAAAAATCGCAATTAAACATCAAAATAAAAAAACCCTTTGGAGATACAATTCAATGATACAATACAATAATTATAGAACAAAACTAGTTTTCTTCCAGTATACGGACAAATCATTTACAAGATAATTAACAAAATCATTTTAATATAAAATTGTGTTATAAAATACAATGTACACGATTTTTAACAAATCTCCCAGTTGAACCACGTGATGTAGTTAAACTGACAAACGTATCGAGGGCTTAGTCAGCCGCTGTTGTGGGAGTTAAACTCTTGTTACAGCGACTGTGACTATCTCTCTGTGTTCTCTTTCTACACTGCAGGGCATCAGCTGACAAACACAGCTGATTACACATAAGCTCATTGCAGAATGTGATCCGCGCTTTGTTGCTTGGTGCAATACTCGATGTTTGAACATGTAAAATTACATTAAATACAAAAATGGTTTATGTTAAAATAATATTTAAGGATTGGATTAGAGTGATTGTCGGAATAGTGTCTTGACTCTTGATTTTTGTAACAAGATTTTCTATATCAGACGAATTATAAATTATATGGAATATTATCTTGTTAGTGCGGCACTACTTCAATCCTCAATGAGGGACAAAAAAGCCCTCAACACAAATAGGGATTGAATAATAAAAAAAATAATTGTTCGAGTATGAGATACTCGTGAAATTTCTAATCTCTACTTATTCATTCTTGCACAAATTAATAATTTTTGTCATTTTGAGGCCTTTAAAGGTAGCAGTCCTCCAATCCAGTAAATAATTACAATTAAATTAAATAATGTGGTATCGGAGTTGTTAGGCTGCTTATAAGAATATTGCTGGTCTCATTTTTACAGTTCGAAACCACTCTGGGTTAAAAACAGAATCCAGCAATCTGCAAACATTGGGCAATTAAATTATCTTCGCACATTCAGCTGAACTTTAACAATAACACAAAATCACCTTAACTATTATCACACATCCATAAGTACATTTTTCACTTCCCACACAAGAATCTATCTCATCTACCTTAGGAATCTAATCTCATCTAAATCTAATCCAATAAATATTTTCCAGGGCAAAATGGAAGGGTATGGCACATTTGATCAGCTTGTACCCACCATAGCCAGCCTGGAACAATCAACGGATCTGACCTCTGATGACCTTGACACTGATAGCGAGGACTCAGACATGGACGAGCCTTCCACCACCAGCTCCAACCACAATCTCAACATCGTGGAATGTTCCTACAAGTACTGCCGCAGATACTCCTATTACCCTCAGCCAGTCAGTATTTACTTGAGGGGATCAAAACCAGAAAATTTGGGATTTTTATCATGGGATCTATTATATCAAGATCTTTTCGAAACAGAATTTTTAGAACGTATGCCGATCGCTTTCGACGTATATCGATCGTTATTGATGTCTGCCAATCGCTCTTTACATCTGCCGATCGCTCTCGACGTATATCGATCGTTATTGATGTCTGCCAATCGCTCTTTACATCTGCCGATCGCTCTCGACGTATACCGATCGCTATTGACGACTGCCAATTGCTCTTTATGTCTGCCGATCGCTCTCGATGTCTGCTAATCGTTTCTGACCCTGCAGAAAATGCCTTAAAACATAATTCAATAACATTTTTAGACCAGTGTTGGATTATTGATCATTATGGACAATTGGATTACAGAATAGTTGGCAAACTCATATTGATTGTGTTCATATTTTTTTGAATCCTTTGAAATAAATTATTGGGGTTTATTGGATTATATAACGTCATGTAGTCTTATCTGCAGTCTACTGTTGTTTATAATATAACTTTGAAGTACCCCTATCTGATGACATCCATCTTGATTTCAGTGTTGAAAATGCTATACTTTTGATACATTTATTATAGTGTTTCATCAAACAGATAATTCACTATCAAAAATAAAAATTGACAGGAATAAATCCTGTCCTGATTTGAAATGCAAATTAAGTTCCAAGCATACCTAGTATTGAATTAATCCCGACACAAGTACGTGAACGAAGTACCTAATAAGTATTCAACCGAATATAAAAGATTACCTTAAAATGTACCTGTTTTTGATTGCAGCAAAGCCCTGTTTTGAAAGCTGCCACAGCAACTAAGTCTGGAGGTATGAGGCAGGATGATCCGCAGTCTGTGTTGCTGCAGAGGCCAGCCTGGTCCCAGGTATTATATTCCATAAAATCATACATTTAACACTTACTATATATTTATTTTTACATTCGTTAGAGTTGTCAAAAGGGGTTTACACAAAATTGTAAATATGTATCATAATTTATTTTAGAAAAAGGATCATGTAGAGTATCTAGTATTTTGTAGATATTTTATCACCTCTTTAGAAATAATTAAATGCTGCTTGATATTAAATGATATTGTGCCAGGTTTTGAAGATGGTGGGAGGAGCCCGTAGCAAGGTGGGACTAACCCTGACGTTGCTGGGACTGTTGGCAGCGCAAGGATTGCTGGCTACGTGGGACTACTGCTTCATCGTTGGGTAAATTAGTCTATAAATAACAATAATTAATCTTTATTTCTCCATAATACAAGTTTCAATTTACAATATAAGTACCAAGATCAAAGATGCAAATTTTTTCCAACAATGTAAAACTTATATAACTGTTAAAAAAAAAAAAAAAAAAAAAAAATGGTTTCAATATTCACACCCAAGAGAAGAACAAAACTTCTGTGTGTCGATGGGAGTTTCAAAGAAAACTTTTAACAACAACAACAAAAATTCCATATCTAGGAATTAAAAAACATATATGTATTATCATGAGGAAATTTTTAAAAAGTGGTAGGAAACTACTTTGAGCTTACTAATAATATTAAGAATATTGATAAATGGTATTGTAAAACCAAATATTTTATATATTACAGTTCCGGGGCTACAACAATGAATTTTAAGAATATTACTGTTAAATTTCATCAAATGATTCTGTTAAAAACAAATTTTTTTAAGATTTCTTAAAACACTAATTGACCTACTATATTTTACTAAAACAGGAATGAAATAAATAATTTAAGTGGTAAATAAAACTTACATATAAATAAATACACCCAAGAATATACTCAAGAAAAAGTCAAAACAATTAATTCAGTGAAATAAATGATAATTTTTACTGTTAACAATATGCAATGAATATAAGCTTTGGAAATCGACCTTTGGGGTGGAACCAGGAAATTCGTTCATAACAATACTTTTCAGAAAATCTCTACACTCTGAGCTTCATTTTGATGTGCCATTATGTCATACGGTATTTTTTTTAAATTGAAAATTATTAGGTCAATGACCTTAAGCGATAAAAACAAATTTGACTGTACTGTATCACTAAAATAATATAATATATCGTTATAAAAATTTTAATCATCATTCTTAAAATATATTCCTTCCATCTTTTCTTACTGCCGTGATATACACCTTATCTTTTATATACATAACACTTAAATGTTACATGTACCCATTTGAGATCCTATATATTTACGAGACATCTTTCATTTCCAATCCGTCATACATGTCATGCGTTTGGTTGTTCGGTTTTCCATTTCCCTTCTACATATTGACTGTGCTAACAATATCCGGTTTGTGTATTTATTTTTGTTGTCGCCTGAAAAAATGGAATTGATCACCAAATGAGATAGTTCTCTTAACTCTTCGATAAAATATGAATTAATTTAAAAATATTCTTTGATTTATAACACCCTTTAATATCATCCCATAATTATTCGATAATAATAATCATTCCAAATCTCAAATTGTAAAATTTTAGCTAAAATAATGCTGTCCACATACAACTATAGTGGGATAAAGTAAATAAATAATTTAAAAACTAAGCTCAAATTTTTTAGTAAATATTTAATTGCAAGAAACCTCTCAAATAACTATCTTATTACGATTCAACACCCATTGAAGTACGCTAAAATAAAAATTGGAATAATGTATAAGTTGAAGACAACTTCTTTAGTTTAAGTGGAAGAAGTTTTACCAAGGTAAAAAACCAGGAAATCCTCTTAATGTATAAGGCATTAAAACTTTATGAACTACTTGAATTTCAAGCATTCGCTTCTTCAGTAAGGAACTCCAATGTTTCCAAGAAGTTTTTGGTTGGCCAAATATTATCCTTGGTTTTCAACTTTTACAACAATCACTTCTGTAACACGAGAAAACGGTTCTTCAGCACTTAATAATTTATATACTTAAGTTTTGGTTTAGTCACTGGTTCTTCGTAAAAAAAATATTAGAGGTTATATCCTGCAACAAAATTAATACTATCCTTCTTAATTAATGGTTGACTAACCTGGATTACTTTCAGTAGATCCTGACTATATTTGGATGACTATTGGTTTAATGCATAACAATTAGGTCGTACTGAATTAGGTCATACTAGGTTATTGAACTCTTCTTATCATTTGAAGAGTCGTCATAGTCACACAAACATATTAAATATTTTATGCTCCTGTCTTCTTAGATAAGCAGAAGATACAGTATATTTGAAAATTCCGTTGAAAATGAAGCTTGATCGTCCAAACGAATCCAACTCCTCCAGTTATTTCAACCTTTTAGTACAAAAGTGATCAGAAGACGAACAAACTATATCAGCAATCTGACACATACTTTTGGCACATTTTTTTGGCTTGCCAACAAGCTTCATCATGTTTTTTGTGGTCAGAGTAAATATGGTACCTTATGGATAAAATAACCAAACTTGCAGTAAATGTCGAACTGTAATTTTTACAGCTTTGGAGATACCATTTTGTTTAGAGTTAAAATGACCTTAACATGCTAAAGTTTTATTGAAAAAAATTTTAATATCATTATTAAAAGAATTCTTGCTGTTTTTGTAAAAATCGAATAATTTCTTTATGGGCTTTTATAGGATAGCACAAACAGTAAACACAGACATCACTTCAAAAAAACCTTGTTGGTTCAGGGGAACACAAAACGGCATTTCCATCCATAACTCCATCGAAAACTCAAACTGAAAATTTTGGCAAAAACACAACTTTCTCTATATACTATGTACAGGGGAGAAAGTAAACATGATATTTTACTTAGACATTTCAATGGATCATTATCATTAGTTCTGTTGAAGAATTAAATTTTATATCCTTATAAACTTAAATGTTTTTGAAAGTGCCCTCTTTACTGGATAAAAAGTTGACGTCAGTTGATATACTGTTGCAGTCTCGGTACCAACAGCACGCTGTTGTGGGATGATTGGCTGAAGACTCCATTGAACGAAGAGGACACGCCACTACCAGCGCTGTGGTACCTCTCCACTGGCGCCGTGCTGGCAGGTGAGTGATGGAATCAGAAAATTTGTTTGTGGAATCGGAAAGGGGCTCGAAATCAGAGTAATAAAATGTAATCGGAATTGTAGTCAGGAGTGGAATTTGCATGGGAGTAAGTATGAGAGTAGGAATTAGCATCCGAGTGAAAATCGGAGCTGGAAGTGTTATCTGAGTAATGATTGTATTTGTGGCTTCATTATGGAGTAATCAGAACCAGAATTGAGATTGAAAATATATTTTTAACAAGATTTTAGATCAAAGCTGTAATCAGGATTCTTTCAGTTTCCAATAAAAATTAGGTTAAGAAATTTCATAAAAATGAAATAAATCAAGATTTAGAATTTCAACTAGAATTAGAATTGGAATAAGAAAAGATTGGTTTGCAGCAACCTTATTTCAGAATATATGTTTTGCATACAATAATGTACGCACACCTACCTAACTTTTCAAGAAAATAATTAACACATTTTTATTGATTAATAGCATAGCATATCAATCGGAATTCGAATTTTAATCAGAATCGGTACAAACATTTTAAAGAATAACGATAATTACTATCTACATTCTCAGAGGCGGGTTAACAGAATAAAAATTTAGACAAAAGTAATTACTAAGCTACTTAAAGTTACAAGTACAAAAAATGTTGGCAACAGAAACATTAGCAATGTTGATACAATTAACTGTGAGGTTAAACTATTGTTGTGATTACAATAACTGTTTAATTTGTGGATAAACAACTTTAACAAACATACTATCACACTAATGTTGACTATCTCACATTGTTCCGGGTGTAATTCTAGAGTTTATTTCCACTTGGGTTGTCATCGCAAGTAGTGTGAAGTGGCGTGTTGACGTGTATTACAGCAACTCGTGAAATATTCTGTTTGTTTTTTACCTTTGAATTTTAACTTCAGTACATTGTAACTGTAGGTTTATATGATTATTTGAGCTGATATGAAATGGGCATTAATTGTACTGTTAATCATAATTTTAGATTAAAATTTCATTGTAACATACACTTAATAAAATGTGAAGTGTTTTACTACCCATGCAAGAAAATGCTACAATATTTACTTTTCTTACGATATTAATCTAAGTGCTCTGTGCTGTGTTATTTAAACATTGCTGGATATATTAGTTAACTAAAGTATGTTTCATGTTTAAATGTATACTCCTCCTGTCATGTTTGTACAAATTTGGTTTCTTATGCAAAAGTAAAAATATTTATCATTAAGTTTGAGAAGAAAAGTATAACAAGTGTCGAAAAGACAACAATTGTTCTGCAAATAATAGTTAAAACCTTATATCGATTTTGTATACTGTAAAATATAATGCAGCTTCTGTATAAAGAAAATTTTGTTGGTAACATTCTTAGCGAAAGATTAAATATTTAAACAGGTGTAAAATGTTTTTAACTTGAATCATTGGCTTATTAAAACACGATTAAGTAAGTAAACAAAGTTAAACACTAACTTGACCAACTGCTAACCTGCCGACAAGTAAAGTTTTTAGGAGCTTTAGAACAATACATTATTCTCTGCTCTTGCTTTCGCTTTTAAACTTTAAACTGTTGGATTTATTTTGAATCTGAGATATTTGAAACTTTGTTTACACCCTTTTACATTTTTAATAATGTCTTTAATTGTTGATTTACATTGTATTTTTATTTTAAAATGACGTATATTCCTTTACAGCATACAGCCCACGATTACTAGAAAAAACCCGGTATGGATCATAAACATAAACAAAATGACGTTGTTGGCCCGAATCCTATACTAATAGCATTGAACATATGTTTTAGCAGTTCCATTTAACCAATGTTAAATCATGTTTATTTTCGGGCCAAAAACGTCATTTGTTGATGTTTATGATCCATACCGGGTTTTTTCTAGTAATCGTGATACAGCCTGTATGCAGTAAAAATTTGAATATCCTATCAGTGGTCAACGATAACAGCTGTTGTTTTTGCTATTTTCCTGGGAAACAATGTTATTTCAATGTAATTACTACACCGTTCTGTGAAAACTTGTAGATGAACATGTTTGACAATTGCAGTTGAACTTGAACATTTTTACAGTTATCGTTGAACATGTTTACAGGCATTGCTGTCAACTATAACATATCAGTGATGCTGAACAGAGCTGTCAACTTTATACATGACTCTCTAGTCAAGGCTTTCCTCCACACTCCTATAACATTGTTGGATCAACAGATTCTTAGTAAGTGAAATGTTATGTAAAGTAAATGTATATAATGTAAAATAAATACTTGTAGCCATGCCACGTTCCACACATATTAAAAATTGATTTAATTTTTGTTTAAATTTTTACCAAAAGTTAAAAATGAGATTCAATGTTTTAAAATTTCCCAAAAATTTTAAAATAAAATAATTTTATTCCGAACGCTAGAAAAAAAAACAAAAAAGTTGATAGATATTGTTCGTTAAATATCGAACAGTTAGTTTAAAAACAGTTAAAACACTCATTTACGTTTTAATGAGATACAATTACAACTAGAAAGCTCTTCACCATTAGAACGCTTGTTGCCAGAAAGTTTAGTACGATAAAATTAACCATACAGTACCTGTAATGGTATTTAACAATCTACGCTGTTAAAATATTTGTCGCTAGAGTTAAAGTAACAAAAATTAAACATTTGAGATATTTTTAATTGGTTTGTGGCACCTTTCTTAGATATGAGAGGCTACAATAATGGAATGCAATTTTGCCCCTAGGGGTAGTGGGGGTAAGGGGGTAGCTCAAAACTTTCTACTTGGAAGTATAGTCGACTTTGGTACAATTTTAAAGGCCTTGACAAAACTAACAATTGGCATAAATAAAATTGAAATCGGACCACTAATAACAAAATGGCAGATAAAAATGTTTAAGATGCTGGTTAAGTAGTTTTTTACAAAACCAATTGGATTTCAATCATTTTGTTATTAGTTGTACGACTATTGTTTAATTACGTCTATCGTTTAGTTTTGTCAAAACCTTTAAAATGATGCCAAAGTCGACTATAATTCCCAATTGAAATTTTTTAGCTACCCCGTACTACCACTGAAGGCAAAATGTTTAAAATTGATCATTATTGTAGCCCCTCATATCTAAGGAGGTTGCCGCAAACCGATTTCAAATAACTCAAATTGTGAAAAGTTAAGGTGCAAGTTACTTTTCAGCCACCCTATATAGTGCGTTGTGAAAAAAAAAAAACAACAAAAATACTGGAAGACTTCAGCAAGAATCTTTAACGCATGCATTTTTAACACATCTCTTGTCCCTACTTTGTAATTTCCAGTAAACGAATGTTTGAGTTAGAGTGTGTAACATTTATGAGGCTGCAGTCTCGCGGGGGCTGGGAGCAGAGATTGTTTTTGTAAGTGAAACAAGTCCCGAGCGTTTTGCAAATTAAGTCTTTGTACAGCCTTGTAACTTAAGTTACCAGGCTTACTTTTACAGCGATACCTGAATGTGGCGTGTTTAGGAAATTCACACAATGGTGAAGGAGATTAATTTAACTAAAAACTTTTACAAAATATTGTAAAACAAAGCTAAAATAAAATTTTATGGATTTTATTACAAGACAGATATTTTTGTAAGGTCAAAAAAAATTAAGGAAATAATGAAAGCTAATAAAATAATTTTATTCAATTGAGTTTAGTTTATTATAGAATTAATATTAGCTAAATAAAAATTTACGTTAAAGAGGAAAAAGTTTATGGAAAGATTTGAGGTTCATTAAAAATATTTGTTGTAAAAATCAAACCTATTAATTATTGAAACTAATGGTAGCTTAGTAACGTTTTTAAATGAGTTTAATTTATCTATCCAATCATATATTATCACAATAATGAGTTGTATTGTAGGAATAATTACCAAAATGTATCATTCGTTTTAATAATAAATTTAATATTTATCCTCTAGATAGAGTTAACTACGAGAAACTCAACTGGATTTTTGAGTAATGAAATAGTTTACTTTGAGCTATTCTTAGAGCAATAAGCATCAGATGTCACAGATAAATTAAAATATCGTCTTACAAAAAGACCTTCGTACTAGTCTCGTTCATAGGATACTTCAAATATGTTTTAAAGAACTAATTTGAATTTTCAAACTTTTGTAATTTTTTTAATAAGTCACAGCATATGATATTTTATAACTTGTGTGTTTTCACAGACAAGATATTCAGCTGTCTGTCGCAAGATGTTCGTGTGTTAGACGAGTTTTTGGTTCCTGCCTTTCTTAATTTAATTCAGGTAAAAATCAGTTCTGAATTCCTACTATGTAAAGGGTTTTTATAAATTTACACAAGTGACCATAACTACTACAAGAACTTACTAGAAGTTTTTGTTTGGATAATGCTTAAATCTGTTTGCTTGTATTTTTAAGGTACCACCCTTAAAGTATTTTGTCAGAAGATTACCTATTTAAATTAAGATATTAAGAATTTGATAAACTGTATTAATTTAATAGGTTTTCATTTAGTGCATCTCAATTTTAGTTAAATCAGCGAGAGTTTCATTTTCAAGACAATCATCTTTAGCTAGTAGGTACTCATAGAGTTCCCCTTGCATACATTTAGGTACCGATAGGGTATGATTTTATAATAAGACAAAAGCATGCCTATTTGTGTACGTATGATCTCTCTGCACTGGGAACATAAAACTACTTTGCATGAGAGAAATGTGCTTTATCTATTCAAACTTTCTGAAAATGCTACTGGCTGAAGAGCTACACTTGTATCCAATCATGATGTCTCCTCATTGAAACATGTCACAATTGGACTAAAATGACGATTTAATAAAAATTATTGAAATAATTTCAAAACATTACTACAAAATTGCATTTATGGAAAGACTACGTTTATAATGTAGTCGGACATGATTCTTAACAGCTTGTGCTAAAGTACAAATGTAAATTGTGAATTTCACAGCTAAATCTGCTTTTAACCTTATGACCGTATCGATGGTTCAGTCTAGTGGTTAGGTTAGGTTAGGTTATGTTAGGTTAGATTAGGTTGGGTTATGTTAGTGTGCTAGTATGTAATTTTGTGGAAGAATTAATTTAACAACTACACGTCATAAAATAACCATTACAATAGGTAAGGTTAGGTTACGTTCTATGTTGGGTTATTTTATGTTATGTTAGGTTATATTAGGTAAAGTTAGGTTATTTTAGGTTGGTTTACGTTAGGTAAGGTTGTTTACTGCGGTCAAGTTGTTGATAACAGCATGTTTGGCAGCATAGCTTGTTGCTGGTCGGTTGTCTGGGGCTGGTGGTTGTCGCTTACTACTGGTTCATCATCCCTACACTGGTCTTGGCAGTGTTCACCGTCTATCTCTTCACATTGTGCCTTCCAACAACCAAGGCGTTGGAGACCATAGAGACTAAACGTAAGCCTTTTAGTCAAGAAGGGGAGGTTTGGTTGCTCTGAAAAGTTGTGATGCTATGTTAAGTTGACAAATATCATTTAAATTAAAATAATATTTTTCCAAAAACCAAAGCAGTACACCAAAGTGTATGGGGCCGATTAAAACAATAACAAATCATATAGTTTTATGTTGACGTACAAGTTGATAGTAAGAGGATAGCCCAAAAGAAAACAGACTTAGAAAACAGACTTTTATAAAAAAATTCCCTTGTATATTTGTGTGATGGTTTTCATTCTAAGTGACAAATATAGAAAGTTGGTCCAGGGTGGTTATAAATATTCCCTATATTACACTCCACCCCTCTATTTAACATGATGCTCATTTGGATGGTACATTAACAATTCATACAGTGGAGAGTGGACATATTCATTATGCATACAAGTGACAATGAATTGTGTATAGGCATACGTCGGCGTATGCCACATTGCTGTTGCACACACTGTAATGTATTTTGTAGTATGTAGACAGATGTATCTCGCAGCATACATTTTGATTCTATATGTATTGATTCTGTGCATAGTGGCTTCCTAATTTTTCTCTTGGTTCATAGTTTTTATTTATTTTCTGATTTACTCTGATTAGTTTTTACTATTTTTTATGATTCTGTGTTTTCTGTTCCTATACAATCTTATTCTGTGTTACCCAACTCTATGTAAACTGATTCAGCGTTTTATGATTTAGTTCTTTGTTTGAGACTGTATTGGCTTTCATGTTTGTAATTTTGTATAGGTAACTAATTTATATAATGGATTTATATTTAGAATCATTTACATAACGTGATCAATATTTTTCTGATTCTGATTCCACAGTGTGGCGGCCAGTTGAAGCTTACTTCCAGATGAGTGAGGACGAAATTGTAACAATTCGTTCACTGAAAGCTGCAGAGTTCTACAGACGTCAGTTTGCCGATCATCAGGTACAAATCAATCCTTAATATCAATGTTAAATGTAGTTAAATAAAAAACTATTCAATATCTATTGATTATTTCGTAATTAAAACTATGAAAATGCAATGAATATTAAAAAGTAATATGTTACACTATCTAATTTTAGAATTTAATTACCAACGGATATTACATGTTTACACGATATGAGTTATTAAGCATGTTAATTTATCTGTTAATATTTTAAACGAAGCAATCAACTGGTTAAATATTCTTCAATAAAGAGTTGTTACGGAATTGTTTGTTTAAAAACGTCATCATAATTGCATTCCTGGATATTGCAATCAGTTCGCGATTATAACTACATTTTACAAACATTTGTTGATGGAAATTGAGTTTGCTTTGTTTATCGGTAATTTCAGCAAATTTAAGGGTTGATTTAAATACAAATCGTTTAAATTAAAAACTAATCTTGATTTATTCAGCTATGTTTAGTTTATTGTTTGATAATTTGAATAAATTGAAGGGACATATTTGTTGATGTTATCCTTTAAAAAAAGTGTAAAATAATTATTGATGAGAGCGTTACACATATTTTTTTAAGAGTGAGAGCTAAATATCAATCAATGTTTTACACAGCAAGATAAAGCTATTCTCGTTTTAGATGGTGATAGGGATCCTGTCTGGAAGTACAGTATTATAGTTTGGCCGCTTAGAAAGCGACCTCCTCCAGCATTGGTTTAGCATTAGCGCGCAGGTCGTTTTCTAAGCGGCCGAACTATAGTATATTTTTCAGTTGGAAGCACAGCAATTTTTTCAACTGTTGTAATAAAACATATATGTTTTAGTTTACAATTTCTGATTAGCATAGAAGAATATCCTGCACACCTCACAGCCCTTTGGATGAGTGAATTTATTTAACATGACTGTAATGGGATAAGTAGTTCTTTGTCAACTTGTATAATATATATTATTGTTTCTCTGCAGGACAGACACTCTTCAGCTCTGTTTCTTCTACAGTCCGTCACAGAAGCTCTTAGTTTGTGGCTAAGTCTAGCTTGTGTCGCCTTCACTTCTTGTATCACCCTTGTGTTCTACTTCATTGGTAAGTAGGTTGGATGAGGAAAATAGCCTAAGTCTCTCATAGAATTTTGAAATTAGAAGGATTTTTTTGTAGACAAAATGTGCCTCTCTATTCCTCCTGGATCCTTATTTTCCTAATATATATAATGAAAACTTGAACATGTGCATGCTAAAAGAGTCACGTGAGACACTAATGATAAAACTCACCACTCACGTTGCTGTATTATGACAGAAGTGGAGAGGTCAGTGGTAGCGCTGGGCACCTACTCTTGTCTGGTGGTCACCAACCTCGTACCATTCCTTGTGTCTGACTCAACTCTGACCTCTCGTCTGGTGGAAACTATCAGACACATGGTCCAGGCCTGCCAACTGCCCAGGGAAACAGCTGACGTGTCTGCTACTCAGGCCTACCAACCTAACACTGATGTTGTCAACGGCACTGTTAACCCCGCATGTAAGTAGGAAGAATGTTTCATATTTAAGTTTAAGATTTTTAATACGCTCGAGGCTGCAATGTTAGTAATGTTGATCCTTTTTAGGGATGACAGTGTAAAAGAAAATGATAAAAAAATATATATATATACTGATTCCTCTAAACATATATGAACTTAAATATGTTTCCAGCATGTTAGTATTGACCCAGTCGTATTAATTATACAAGTTTAGGGATCTATAATTAAATTTTTGTTAACTAGGCCCTACCTACTTCTCTTAATCTTTTTCTCTCTTCTTTTCTTTCTTTCTTCTCTATTTGTTTCTTTCTTCTTCTTTCTTTTTTGTTTCCCTTCTTTTCTTCTTTTCTTTCCTCTTCTTCTTCTTTGTGTTTATGGAGTATAAAACGTGAAGAAATTTTTTTCACCTGTACCTAAAAAAAAATAGTATCATGAAAGCAAATAATTATTTCCTTTGTAAGCTATGTTTATATATAAGTTTTTCAGCAGGCTATATTTGGACGAAATAACAATCCAATCTTGTTCAAAGCTTGAAATGTGACAAATTTTATTTTCGTTTGGGGACAGTGGGATGTTGAAAATTTAGTGATTGTATACATTTTTCATTGATCGTTCTTCTGAAGCTCTCAAAATAAAAATCCTACCTACTTACTCAGTTTCTCCTTCGCTGGAAAAATTCTCTTTCCAGTTACAAAATCAGTTTCTCTTTTCCAGTGTTGTGTTCATGCCATGAACCTTCCTTGCATTGAATGAAAAATAGACTTAGTGATATATTAATAAATCAAATTCCTTCTTTCACAGTTGCTGGAGACTCAGACTTCCCTGTGGTGTCTCAAAGGTGGCCTTACTCTGGGGAGATCCAAGCCACAAACCTGACCCTGACCAATAAGCTGGGGACCCACGCCACTCTGGAAAACCTCAACTTCACCATCAAACCCAGGGAAACTGTAAGCTACAGAATTTTAATTTTTGAGAATTAATTTTGTCCTGCAACAATTTTTGTTCAGCACTTTTTGGTAAAAATATTGGCCGTGGCATGATCTTCTTCCCCAAGTGTAAATCAATGAGGTAATAATTTAATATGATGTTTGACTATAGAGAGTAGTAGATACTTCATAGCCATGTTAAAATTGTAGTCAGTTTTTAATGGAAATTAAGGTAGTTGAGTAGATTCGCCAATAGAGTATCGAATCAGTCAATTTCTGATTCCTGTTGTAAATCCTAATTTTGTAACCAATTTAAACTGAAAGAATAATTTTATGTAAGTTTAAAAAATAACATCTTTTACGCCACGTTATTCATAAATTGTTTACACTGAGAGAGAAACGAGTGAGGTACCATACTTGTGAGTGGTTCATTTAACTAATGTTCCATTTCAATAGAAATTTGTGATAGCTGGTACATACATGTGGGAAGTCTAGAGTAGTATCCACCAATCAATAGCAGCAATCGATAACCTTATTTTTTCATGGAACAAGTGTATCTGGATATTGGCCAGTATTTGAAGCTTTATCAAATCCCCATGAAGTGCTCAAACATTCAAAATGTGATCAACGAAAAAACAAAAACCTTTGACGTTTTTTTGTCCTCAGGTTGGTATTGTGGGGAGTGGCAAGTCCTCACTGTTGGCAGCACTGCTGAGGCTTGAGGAGCCTACTGGAGGAGGATGTGTTCTCATTGACAAACTAGACACAAGAGACGTGTCAATCAAACTCCTTCGGTCGAGAATATCTGTTATTCCTCGACATCCAATCTTCTTCGCGGGAATATTGAGGACAAACCTCGACCCTCACGATCAGCTGACAGACTCCCAGCTGTGGGAAGCCATTGATAAAGTGAGTTTAAAATCTACTCTTTTTTTGAAAGAAACTGAATGTTAGGAAATTGTCAATTTACTAATTACTTTTATATCGTTTGGTTCAAAGTTCCTCATTCCTCTAATTAAAGTTAAATTATACAAATTTTTGTGACGTGACATGATCATAAAGATTAGGTGAAATATGAATTGGCTTGTTATTAAACTTCAGTTGGTCTCTCCAGTCTGTATTTTTTTGTACTTTGTCCAGACTACTATTATTTTAACTGTTCCCAGTAATTAGTAATAACCATTTTGTATTTCATCTATGATTCACTAGGTTTTTTACCCTTTGATGTGTAACCAATGCTTTGGTTGTGTTTATATGGTGTATGTAGTATCATTATGATGTAGAATTTCATCGCGATTTCAACATTGGTGGTGCATTTAACTTTGTAATTTTTAACTGTAGTAATTGTCTACACTATTAGCGATTTATCTTCACCATTTAATTGAGTTCTTAGTTTTGTTGGATTGTAGCCTCTGAACGTAAATGGGAGCCTGATTGTATCTTGAAGCTCATTGTGTTTTAATTTCCAACACTGGTGTTTTCATACAGGTAGGGCTCCTTGATGCAGTGACTGAGCTGCCGTTTGGTCTTCTGACAGAATCTCGTCACTGGGACAAGACGTTCACAGTGGCTCAGCGACAGTTGTTGCACCTGGCACTCGCTGTCATTGCTGCCAACCGTATACTCGTTATTGACTTGGCCTCTCGCAACACATCACCTCAGTGAGTAACCCTTGTAATAGTTTCGAAGATTAAGTTTGCGTTTTGTAAAAATTGTGTAACTATGCTTACAAACGAGTTAGTTAAAAGATGAGCAATTTCTGAAGTAACTAATCTCCAGTAATATAGCAGTAATCATGACCCTTACAACGCACAAAATACTTTTGGAGACCTAAATGCTAGATGTAAAAAATACCAAGGTTATGACGATCGTTGGATTGTTGAATTTCGGATACAGAATCATACAATAAAATGGACCAGCTGTAGCTAATTTCAAATTGAAAAAGTGTATTGTACGAGCCACTCGTGAGTATGCTACTGACTCACATTATTCTTTTATCTATAGTTTTTATTTCTTTGATAGTTAATGTGACAAAAAGGTTCAGTTATTTACAATACCTTGTCCTCTTAGTGTGGCTCGGTGAAACAGTTGTTGTTCTGCAGAAATTCTATATACTGTAACTAAGTTTAAATATGCAAATTTGTATTCTAAAATTGGCAACAAGATAACTTAGTACCTGAATAGAAGGTATATTATTTTTATATCTCTAGTCAGAGGTAGTAGCCGTATAAGACACTGTAAACATTTTTTTAAACTAATTCTGTGTTTACTACAGAGGTTGTCTAAAGTAAACAGCCAAACCCCGGTAATGGTTTTATAGACCAAAATGAAGAGAAAATTTCAATTTTGTTTAAATTGCTTTGTAACCAGATATTTGTAATTTAGTATTTTTAAATACAGTAATCACTTTTATCTTTGAATTGTTCAAGCCAATGATTATGAAACTTGGAATATCTTCTAAGGCAGGAGAGACCTTTTTTAGAAAAAAATTAACTTTGTTCAACCTTAAATTTCAAATTAACGTCCATTTTAATTTTAAATAAAAAAAACTGTTTTAATGCCAAATAAAAGTTTTCTTGACATTTCTTCCATAAAAACAGCCATTAGTACTTTATAATATAAAAACTATAATGGTCACCATTTTGAAATTTTGAATTGGACCAAGTACATTTTTTTCTAACAAAGGTCCTCTCATAACATGCTAAATTATGTAAAACTAGAAAATGGTGGACGTCTGATCAACGAAGCGATTTTGACAAGAAAACCATTTTTTATTTTGACTAAGAGAACCATTTTCCTGAGTTTGGCTGATTACTTACGGGACAGCCTGTGTATTCATTGAGTGGTGTTGCAGGAGTGACCATGCCTTAGTAACTCTAGTCAGGCAACTGTTGCCATCTTCTACAGTCATCATCATGACTGAGAGACTAAGACTAGTCATGGCAACAGACCGCGTGTTGGTGTTGGACAATGGGAAGATGGCGGTGAGTTGCTGTTAATTGTAAAAAAAAAGAAAAAAGAAAAAAAAGAAAAAAAGAAAAAAAAGAAAATAAGAAAAAAAAGAAGAAAAAAAAAGAAAAAAAAGAAAAAAAAGAAAAAAAAGAAAAAAAGAAAAAGGAAAAAAAAGAAAAAAAATATTGCTCTTTATTATTTTGTTTTTCTTTTTTGTTTTTATCTTTTAATCAAACTGCGAGTGAGATTAGTGTTTAGCCATTAAGAGTTTCCTTAATCAATAGAACTTAATCAAATCACAAAAGTAACACATAATCGTACTTATAAGTAGTAAGTTTTAAAAATTGTAACTAGATTTTGTAAACAAAAATGAGTAGTTTTTTCGTCTTTATGTGTTAGGAAATGGCGATTACATATTACTTTTGTGTTCAAGCTGTCTATATTTTGTTTCACTACTTTCTAGATTTATTGAAACTAAAATATACTCTTACTTGTAACGGTTAATTTTAAAAGAAATACATTTGTCCCTTGTCATACAAAACTGATATTTTTACAAATCCATGTATTACTACGCTTAATAAGGTTGGATTTGTTTTTCAGGAGTATGGTCACCCGTATTTACTACTGCAGAACAAATACAGCCATTTGAACAAGATGATACAAGAAGCAGGTCCGTCCGAGCTTCACGCAGAACTTGTCAGAATTGCCAGACAAGTAAGTAAACTATTTGACTGTTTTTAAATCTTGTCTTTTCGATTTAATTGAAGAGATACTTCTAGTGAATAACAATAAACAAGAGTATTTTTGTTTGTTTTTATTTAAATTTTGTAAATAAACAGTTTGAATACATACAGTATTGCTAGATAAAGTAATATTTCTCTATTAAAGTACCTAAAACCGCACTTATGGTAAGAATGGTGCTAGCAGTAGGCTACCTATTCCCTGAAAAAAGTAGCATAAAGGATGAAATACCAAATTATTTCGCAAAGTAGTGAGGCTTTCAGTAATCATGTAAAAACATATTTCATGCAAAAAACTTTCAACTGCAAGACATAAAATACGATAGAGGTAGCTCTTAACTTAATTAGGTGAATGGTGAATTATATAAAAAGTTTAAATGCATTATGCGAAATAATGATATTCAGTAAACAAATTAGGTAGTAATATTTTAAGCAATTAATACTACTTAGACAATAGACAATAGACAAAGCTTTACTGTACATGACGCATGATACAATAATTAATTAGAACATTAATTGATCTAAAACATCACAGTCAGTCAACCACTTCAATAAGGAGACTGATTGAATGAATGATTTTTTCCATTATGTTTGCTACAATGTTTATAATTTTTACTACAACTGTTAAGTTTTACATCAAAACATAATGAAGAAAACAGAAAGAAAAAAATAACACAGTTGTGAACTTATTGAATGATATAAAAAAAACTAACTATATCAGACTTTATTAGTAACCAAATAAACTAAGCAAGTTAAATAATATTTTGCAAAAAAATGTAAGTAGCAATAATTAAAATACCTATGTTAAAGTGCAAATATCTTAAATTCAACCATGTGCAGTAAGTAGAATATCTAAACACAGGGCCGGTTTAACCCATACGCGAACTACGCGGCCGCATATGGCGCCATAAAAAAGTGGCGCTGTGGCGCCAACGGAAATTTTTTTTTAATTTTACAAGTAATTTTGTTTATTTTTGCTCAGAGTTAAAGTATTCAAAGCACCACAATAAAGTAATTTATTCTGTTTGTACCAACAGCACTTGAAAAATGCGTATATTTGTACAGCCCTACAACTCTTCGATTTGTAGTGAGCTGACGCTCGGCAGCGTACAGCGCGGCGCCTTTGGGTTTCATTTCATGACTCATGCTCGAGATAAGCAAGCGCGCAGCGCCACTTGTCACAACAAGAAACTTCCCCCTCCCTCCCCTCCCTTCTACTTCTGATAACTCACCCTTGCTAGATCAGAGCATTACATTGTATTGTATTGCACTCTTTTAGTTGTATATGTACACCTGTTCTGAACCAGATTGATACCGACTCAGCAATTAAAGAATTTGCCAAGATCAAAGCTAGGAGAATTAATTTTTAACTGCTAAAAGCTTTTGAACTGTTAAGATTGAAAATTTTGTATTCTTTTTGTCAAGGTAATAAATTTGGTTTTTCATGTTTTCTACATGTTTAATGCGTTCAATTAAAAATTCCTCTCTTGTCATCTACTTACACCTGTTTTCATTGTAATAGGCTTTGTAATAGCTATTTACATTACAAGTGTAGTAAGAGCGTTTTTACATCACGCAGGTGAATGTTGTGCAACGAGCGGAAGCGAGCTGCATAATTCACCTATGTGATGTAAACACGCTCTTGCGTAACGTGTAACGTACAAGATTTTACCTGACCCAACAATATACAGGGGGTTACATACAATATTTTTCATTATCCATTTCACTCAACTTTACATCACTCGTGAAGTCAAGAAGTTGTATACATCACGCTTGGGATTGGGAAGTTTAACATGGCGGGTTAGGTAAAAACTTCTATCGTATCCTGTACTTATATAAGTTATCCTGTAAAAATTGTTTTCACATTTAGAAATAAATTGTTAACTTAGGCCGTGATGCTCGTCAAGCATGACGTCACGATAGAAGACGGCAATGACGTAGGTATTTATTTATTTATTTTCCAAGGAAATATTAAAACAAGCAGCTGATCACAAACAGCAAAAATTACGCCATTGCCGTCTTCTATCGTGACGTCATGCTTGACGAGCATTAGGGACTGTTTTTTTAGTGTGGCCTTGGTTTTGCTTAAGTTTATATGATGAGTAAAAGTGTAAAAATGTTAAATTTCTGGGAATAATAAACAGTCTTTTATTGCAAGTATTCTTCTAACCTAAACTTATAAAAAAGTTCTTCCCACAATCTTTGGGAAAAATTCACAATTAGAGTTAAAAGTAGAATAATGTTCATGGGTTGTGCAGGGAGTGGGTGGGGTGGTAAGGGGGGATTCTAAGTGGCACTGATTCGGGTGTTCGCTTAACTCTGAAAAATTCCTAGAACCGGCCCTGTCTAAACAAACTTAGATCATCCAACAAATGTTTGCAAAAAGCCACAAAGAAATTATAATTTTGAATTTGACGTAAAACTAACATAAAGACTTAGATGTATCAAATTGTAATCTTTGGCATTTCAAGCGTGAATATGATGTGTTTCAGGCCTACATGGCAGACAACAAAACAAATGTGATTATAAGGGAAGAGAGTGTGGATTCAACAGATTCGACTAATTATATTTAAAACTAGATTTTAAAAAGTCATTTTCGTAACTAGTGACCGGCTTGTGCGTAAACATTTCTCTTGTGTGCAGCAAAGGCGGTTTGCACTCGTGTTACACATTATATTTTTCCTACAGTTACTATAAATAATTAGTCTTTCAAACACTGTACAACTCTTTTTATGTTAGGCTAAATCAAAACATTGAACAAAATGGGAAACCCTGTACCAGCTGATCGTCGTAATATTGTAATAAGTGTTGCCAACTTATTTTCAAGCGTATACGGATTATGTGCTTAATAAAACGCACACTGTTTTGTGTTGTTTGGTTGGAATACTGGTGAGAACCAAAGTAAAAACTGTTCGCCAAATTAAGTCTTTCTGTACTATAATCTGTGCAAGGAAGCCCACTTTGTCGGGTGACTGTAGGGAAAAAATAATTTAATGAGGGTGGACAAAGAAACAAAGATACAGTATTACTAAAATATATAGAATGTTTTTTTTTCAAACCCAACTTTTTGCCATATTTGAATTAGGAACAAATGTTCATTCTCCATTACATTTGTTATAAATAAAGTTTGTTAGAATATGAATTACACTTAACATCAAGACTGTAAGCATACTCCCATGTAATTGAAAATAGCAAATTTTTTTATTTTTAAGATGGTAAAGCAACGGTTTACAATATAATGAACTAGTTAAAATTGTTCTAAAAGGATTCTGCCAAGTTTAACTCAAATGATCTATTTAGTTAACATCTTGTTTTGTGTTTGAACTGTAGCTGTATACAATTTGTGATGGCTTTCATAATTAAAAACATATAAACAATTTTTATAATATATTTAAAGCTGAAGTTCAATAAATGTACCTGTTTGTTAATTTGTTACAACTATCAGTTACAAGACATATAAACAAATTTTGTTATAAATACCATATTATTAATGTGATATGTATTTTTTTTTTTTAGAGTTAAAACAAAGTAAGTGCAGTGTAGTTTCAGATTTTAAAAACATGTTGCATGTTAAGATTTACATAGTATTTTTATACAATTCATATAAAGTATAGTAAAAATGTGACTTTTTGTACATGCCTTCATTTTCTTATACCTGACATCATATCTTTCACATGTATCATATTATGTTGAAAAGGAGTTTTAATTTTAATTTAACTTGTACAAAAAAAGTCATTGTGCATTTACTAACTTTATATAACAAGGATATGAATCTTCCTAATATGTTTGTCTCATGATTTCCATTGTTTGATTGAATAGTGATAAACTTCATCGATATACCTGAAATAGAAGGCAATTTTGGTAGTGTTGAATATAAACATCAGTTCCGGGTAACATTTTAGTTTAGATTGAGAAAGTTTTCCATTGTTTGACGCCGTGAACTCCTTAACCTTATTGTGTTACTGACATTGGTAAAATATGAAAAACAATAGTAAGTCTATAAATATTCATATTTCAAGAAGGAAAAGAGTACATTTCTTGAATAAGAAAATTAACTTGTTTTGAACACCAATAACTTTTAATAATTATTTTTGATTTTTAAAAATATTATAAACTACTATTTCAGTTGGAATTTATAAAGAAAAACTAAAAAAAAATTAATAAAAACTTATAAAATTTAACTCCTTTATGCAATATTTATCATTTACTAGTGTGTACACGAATGTAAAAAACACAATAATGAACTTTTAAATAATATTTTTTGATATTTTATAGTTTATGAAATATTTTAGTCAGATAAATTAATACAACAATTGAATGGAATTGATAGTAAAATACATGCTCTTATACAAAGATAAAAGCCAAATAATGATGTTTGATATTACAAATAACCTCTGAAATGACACAGATAACAAACAAGACAATATTACTGAACAAACATGATTATTCACTTACAGCTTTTGTTTGCAGTTTTGTTTTGTACGATAATGTAAAATAAATACAGTTATCAAAATCCTTTTCTCTACAATATTGTTAACGGCGTGATTATTTATGGTTAAGTGTAGATTAAGGTATAAAAAGGAATAATGAGGGAAATTCCAGAAATCTGAAATAGTAAATGATTTGAGTTTTTTGTGTTCATATTTTCCTTTAAAAAAGTCATACTTCCGTTTAATTTTTTAATTTTTTTAAATCTAAATGTTTTCCTGTGTTGTTATGCGTAATGTATTATTTAAAACGGCAAGTGCAGAAAGATATGTTTGACGATTTGACTACTGAAGATTTGAAAATGGCGTTTTAACCCCGAAACTATAGTCATCACGACAAATATAGGGTTGATTGACGACAGGTTAGTAACCTCATTTTATGTCAATTAATCAATCCTGTAGGCAAATATGTAAAAATTAATTATGATCTCAGTAAAAAGGTAATCAAACAAATAATTTTAATTTTTATACCTTTAGAGCCATCTTCAATTAGTTTAGAGTCATTAAAGATACACATTTGAATTCTATCAAATGAAAATGTAAATCCAGATACATTTTAATATTGATTTTTAATTCAAGCCAAATTCTTATATTTATGAAACGTGTTAAAATGCTTAAATAAAATACATTTCACTGATCTAAAAGTAAATAGACAATTTATTTGAATTCCTTGGTAAAATAAAGGTTTCAATTTATTTTATAATACAGAATCTTTGTTAATTTTGATGGTTGGGTTTAAAGAAAAAAAAACAAAAAAAAAAGAAAACTGAACCTCCTAATAAGCTTTGCAACTTGTTTTATAACATTTTTCAACATTGTCAACACTTAAAGTAAAAGTTTTAAACCTTCCGGACATTAAACTCTAACAAGAATAAGCAGCTTACTTAGGTGGAACAAGTCGTCGTTTAAAGTGTTTCTTTGGGAATCACAAAAAATCTCTTCGACTTTTTAGAGGCCAAAAAGTCAACACACAGAAATAAATTAGCATTAAATCTGAAAAATTAAATTGTTCCAATCAGACGATTCAGTAGATATAAGTTATTTCAGTGATTTAAAAAGTTTATACATTTTTTAAGGTTAAAAAGCACCCAAATATTAGTTTGATAATTCAAATTTCTTGGGAGTTATTACAAAGAAAAAAATTCAAAAGGCATATCAAAATATGAAAACACCAGCTTTATGTATGAAAATTACTATCTCTTTCCGGTTTAACGCACAAATTTGCTTGTTTTGGATTAACATTACGTGTGGTTGAAGTCAGGACTAACTATATAACAAAGTTGTGCTATTCAATATTGTTACGTTCAGATGATGTGAAGTTTAACATGAACTTGCAATAAGTTAGTTCCGTGAATTGGGTTAACATTAGTATAATTACTACATCCACTGGTAACTACTTGAAGTCAAACTTTACTGTAGGTGTGGAATTCTTAAGTCAGACATATTGTAGATGAATAGTATAAGAATGTAGTCTTTTATTCATATTATACACACAAATAGTGCATGTATGTAATGTGAAATAAGCATAAATGCAATATAATTTGTCTTTTTGTTAACAAGGTATACCAACTTTCTAATGTAAACAACCTTTCTATAAGGTTTTAGGATAGTATAGAATGGATTTTGTATTTACAGGTGAATATGTAATTTAATAAAATCAAGTAGGTGATCTAGTATGTGATTTGGCTTGGATAAGTGTAGTGTTTAAGACTATGAGTAATAAAAAACATCCCGTTTTAGATAAAATAAGGCCATTATTGTAGGATAATAATAACCATCAAAATTGAAATTGGCATTGTTTTAAGAGACAGTGCATTAACTTAATTAATGATTAAACATAACCAATCATAAGTTAAACTCTTTGTTTTCATATTTTTTAATCAATATTAACTAATTGAACAGCCACATATTGTTAATTAACACCCTTATTTTTGGAAGAAAACTGTTAAAAGTAAAGTGATGCTAATATAAATCTTATAATGTAAATATTTCCAAAATCGCCATTTCAATGGTTAAAACCTCTATATATTGTTTTTTTTTTTACTACAGGTTGTGAAATGAACTATTTAATTTTATGTTTTCTTATATTTTATTCACGACTAAAGCAAGTTTCATGAGAAAGGATAATGGGTGATAATCTACAAACTGTGAGAAGCCATTAACAATGGTATCGATTGTAAAGTTTTCTCATTAAATTGTCGAATGGGTTTCGTTTAACTTTTGATACTCAGGGCGAGAGAATATCAATCTTGTACACAAAAAGCGACCACAGCTTTCCTAATTTTTCATGGAAAATGTATCCATTTATTAAAGAGTAATTTGTTTTTTAATTAATTTATCAATTCTAAACAATTTGTTTCAAATAATCAGTTGAGATTATATTTAGCCTTTGATTCTAATAAATCAGTCTGTTCAACAATAAAGCTGAAATTTACAGGCTTACAAAAGGAATTTATATAGAGAAAATTTACAACTATACAACCCTCTAAAATTTGCTATAAAACAATACATATGCTCTTCTGCTAACAGTTTCATGTTCATTGAAATGTCAAATAATAAAGGAAATCTTCAATTTCGCCTTAAGTAAGTTTTTTAGAAATTTTGTATTTTATCATAGTTAAATTAATCTATAATGTTTAAAACATTTTTCCTCAGAGTTTTTAAGGCTCGTACTCAAACTTCTCAAGGTTCTAAATGATTTGGTACCGATTGTTTTTATATATATAAAAAAAAACAAACAGTGAACATGTCCAAACAACCAAAGTAGCTTTTTAAAATAATTTGTCAGCAGTGAGTTTTAGCCTAATTAAACAATGTTTTTAATTACAGTTTAAGGATAGGTTGAAAAAGAATAATCATTGAAAGAAGAAATTATGATACAACATTCGTGGTAAATTGCTATGATCCCCCTTGTAATGTGTCAACTGTATCTCTATAATAATTATTGTGGAGGAAAAGAGTTTTGACGGTTGAATTATTTTTTCTATTTTTGAACCAGTTTAAGTTTTTTTGTATGGTAATTTATTTAGTATAGTACAATTCAATTGCATCACTATTTTACAAAAAAACTCTGGATAATTATGTTGTGTAAACTATTTACATATTTACCAGCTGTTTCATAATAAATTTAACATTTACCATAATTCAATCATGAAATGATAATTTACAACTTCATTGTGTTTGAATTAAGAATTTCACAAGGGATTTCAAATATGATAAAGATTTACAATATCTTATTAGCATTCCCTTCCCGTCATAAAGTGCTGGAAAGTGTCCAAGATAACAAGATGGTGTTTGGCTCTTGTCCATCTCTACATTCCTGGGGAACATTGTTAGGAACATATCAGCTGTTTGATTAAATTCTATCAGCGTTCTATACTTTGGGAAACAACCCGCTTCCATATAAACGTAAGGAAAGGCATTATTAAAACATGTTAGTTTTTTGTATAATATGTACGCAATGGAACGCAATGGAACCCTGACAATCTAATAGAACTTATATTTTGAAGCACTTTTCTCCTAGATTATAAAGTGTAAATTAGCAACAAAATAGTGCATGTTATCTTATTTTTTTAATAATCACTACTGATGAACCTATATGGTAGGTTTCGGCCTTTTGAAACCCAACATATCTCACCTAAGTTTACTTTTAATATTAACATGGTATTTAACAGAAAACAAAATTCTCAACAATACAATCGTTCAAGAAAAATAGTTTTTATCGCAATAATGTAACTTCCAAATATAATTGTAAGGCGAAGGTAACACACCCACATCACGTAACTCATAACCTGTATTACACCTGCAACTTTATCAGAGGAAATATCTTTAGTTGGTGGCAACGGTAGTTTTGCTTTTATTGTTGAAAAAATTGTATGTGAAACAAGTAATACCAAACATTTGGAGTGTCTTGATAAACTCAAATTTTGAACAGAACTTTTTCAAT